AAAAAAAAATCAAAAAAGAATAAAATACCACAAAATTCTCACTATCTCCACATAGAGATCTATTGACTAGAATGAAGACAAACTATATTTGTCACTATAATGACCAATATCAAACCCGAAGCTCTAGAGTACTTTCTTACAAAATAAATATTTTTCAAAGCCAGAAGGCAATCAGGTCAAGAAAGATTAAACCTTGCACAAGATCTGGAAATGATTATATTTTTAAAGTATTTAGCATTGATCTTTGATTGATTAAATTTGATCATCTTTATCAAGAGTTATCATATGAAATATACCAGTCTTGAAATCTTCCACTCTGAGTTCAAGACTACAAAATCAAGAGATAGTAAAAGAACTGATCTTCCATGATATGAGATTGATCAATGTTTGTTTCATTGCATGAATAAGCTCGTACATAGATAGGAAAGCATGTCAGTGAATCTGAAAGGTCTGAAATATGACAAAATCAACAAGTGAGAATGATCAGGAATAAAAATGATAAGGTCTTCAAAATCATCTGCAAGTAAAACATTGAACTCAGCCAAGCAGCTGGCTTTCAGAACTAGCTTTTTGGAAAGCTAGCTTGAGATATTTTATCAAGACTTTAAATAGTGAGCTCCGCCAAGAAAAGAAGTGAATATAGCAGAAAGAGGAGAGATTTAGATTGCAATTAATAGAATGCAAAAATTTCGAAAGGTAGAGTGAAAAACATATGAAACAGAAAAGCGTGTCAAGGTACTCAAAAAGGAGAAGTAAATAAAACCACCACATATCAAATCATATGACCAAACATGCAAGCCAAAAGCATTTCTTACTAGGTTTTGAAGATATCTGATTGATTTCTATTCAAAATTTGGAAATAGTAGAGTTCTATGGCTTGAAAGAATGGAAGTAGGTAATCCAATACAGTTATTTATCAGCTTTTTTTTAGAAACTCCAGAGCCTTCCAGATCTGAGTAATATCTAGATATCTGGGATTGAGGTCCCTCAAGATGTATATACTTGTTATAGCCATCTGAAGATGAGATCAAGTTATTTGAAATCTCCTCTTCCTTCTTCTGTATATTGGTTTGAGATTCATAAGGATTGAAAGGATAGAAATATCAAGTATTTCAAAATTGTATTTAAAGATGTATTAGTTTCATCTTTATCAGCTTGTGCTCCAGCAAGATAAAATAAAAGATGACTGACTTCCAAATCTACTTGATCTTCACAACTTGAACAATCATTAGAGTCTATTGCAGCTCTCTTTTCATTCCACTAATATATTTATAGATACAAAGGATAGAGAAGTTTAGTCTCTGTCCTTCTGAGGAGTATTTATTGAAGTGGAGATAACACACCAATTGATCCACTCTGAAATCACTGGAAGAACCACTAGAGGATTTAGTACTACATTCATCAAGCTTTTTATTGAAATTAAACCCTATTGAATTCCTTTTGGTCTATGGACTCTCAAGTAATGGATAGCATACTAGACAACTACCTTTAAAATGATTGTCATCCTCATCACTAGACTCCAAATCTTCATTGGAAGGATCATGCTCTTCATCTGAAGGGTTAGTGTCTTTATCCAAAACTAATATGTTCATAGATTTCAACCAAGCATAATTTAAGCCTTGGTACTCTTGAGGAATATATAATACTATATCACTTACTTCTGAATCCAGTTTATCTTTATTACTAGACACTTCATCTTAATCCGAAGAATTCCCTTCATCTGAATACTTGTTGCTTTATCCTTAACCTGATATGGCCATAGATTTCAACAATAGATAACTTCAGTCTTAGTACTCTAGAGAGGTATATATTCAAGAGGAAATAACTTACAGCTTATCCTCTGTGGTACCACCAGAAGAGATACTGGAAGATCTCTTTCAAGATCCATTAGCGGGTATTGGATTAATATTGGTTGATATAATATTAAGTAATGTATTTAAAGGTACAAAACATACTTGTTAATCTACTAGCTCTTCACCTATGGAGCCTTTAGTCTTCCTTGGTGTTTTGTTTTGCTTTTTTCTTTATCTTTCTGGTTTACATACATTTTCTTATTATAACAAGATTTGTATTGATTCAAAGGATAGACAGAATAAGTCTCTTTCATCTTGAGTAGTATTTATCAAAGCAAAAGTCACTACCCAATTGAAAATCTGCCATTTGATTCTTCTTTTCCTTGAGAGGAGTCTGAGTAAGATTGATTGTACACCTAGAAAACGTATTTGAGGCAGATTTATCAGAATCTAGCTTTTCTTCTTTTTGATGACTTTTGGAAGGCTTTCCACCTGTGCTTCTCCTGATCTACACTTATAAGAGTTTGTTTATAAATATATAACATGAAACTTACATTACTTAATACAAAGAGCTTACTGATGTAGACTTCAGGTTATCATCAGCAAAATCCATGGATGAACTTGCTTGGACTTGATTTGCACTTGTAGGCTTGGAAAATTTGAGTGGTTCCTTCTGATGATTGGATATAAATCAAAAGGTATTTTTAATCAATCTGGAAGTTTCTCTTTCTTGAGTAATATAAACATACTTACATTGATAATCTTCTTGTACTCAGATCCTTGGATTCAGTGTCCCTGAAGAAGAGCTACTTAGATGAGAACCTCCTAAAATCAAGATTTGAAACCATATACCTTTAGAAATCCTTGATTCTTCTGTGATGTCTGTCCATTAGTTCTTGTATTAGACCAATATATACATATATATTGAGATAAAATCATATCAGGTCTGTATTCTTTCTTGGAATGAAGATATGAGATAAAACTCACATCGAGTACTCCTGATCAGGATCTGAGCTGAAACTGGAGCAGCAGTAGATGAGACAGAGGAAAGGTGAAGAAAAATCCACCTTTCCTGATGCTGCTCCAGTGGGATTATATAGTGAAAATGTAATGAGAACTATCACACAACTGAAATTTCGTAAAGCACAGCAAATAACCAATGAGAAAGTCTCGCAGGACTCTAGTAGACATGTTGGATATTAACATATTTGATATGTCACAGAGGACATCTGTCAAGCACGATTTAGTCACACAGGGCTGTAAGAACATGAGACTATCTCAACACATCACAATTTGGACTACAACCAAGATGATGATAGATCAAGGGGTAGGAATGCCGGAGGTGGTGGGGACAGATGGTCTCCTAACCGGAACAAACGATCAAGATCTCCGAATAGACAACACGGTAACCAAGACCGGTCTCCCAGAAGCACTGACTCATACAGTTGGCGGGATGATTATCAAAGAGATACCCAGCAGTCAGGAGGACAGAGCAAGTCCTTGAACAACGCATCGTCCGCACCAAAACGGTAGTGAGTCGACAAGGTGTCCTTGCTATACTATGTAGCACATTTGATGAAATGAAACAAACTTAGCGCTCAACATCAAACCCATCCCTTGCCCCAGTCCCAACGTGCCCCAATAAGAGTGAGAGACTTACATGAGAACTTTTCCTTGCCTTTAGCTCCAGCCCAATTAAGTCCGGACAAAGACGTGAAACCCCATCTCCTGGCAATAAAAGCACAAGTAGTGCTGGCCAAAGGGGGAAGTTGGACTTGGAATCAAAACCAGGGTCTTTGTCAAGTGAGTACGCGGCCTACAAAAGTGATTACGGCTTGAGGAAGAGATGGCAGAACTACCAAAGCAATAGTGAAGAAGTACAAAACAAGAAGAAATAGCAAAAAAGAGAAGCCTCTTTGGACATAAGATACATCAACAGGAGGATTGTTGCCCGGGGCCTTGTAGGGTATGGTGCAAAATGGATGTTGAAGAGTGGGAGAAGCAGCTAGAAAGACGCGGCTTACTAGCAAAGTATCAAGACACAGTTGACAGCTTCAGGTATGGCTTCCCACAAGGGATACCAGAACATACAATTGGAAGGCTCTCATGGTACACGCCAGACAACCATGATTCAGTGGATGAAGTAAATCTGGAAAAAGAGAAACATGAGGGTCAAATTTACCCACCATTTTCACATCAAGAGGTGTCAAGGTGGTTCCCTCTCTTCCAATCCAGCCCAATGGGAAGCACAGTGAATGGAGACAGGATATTCCGGGTTATACATGATCTATCGTACCCAAAAAGAAAGAAAAGAATACCATCAGTCAACTTTTTTGTCAATAAAAACCACTCCAAGACTTCCTGGGATGACTTTGCCAAAGTTGTGAAGTTCCTCAAAGCTAACCCAGGACGGTGGCTGCTAGCGCTTTTTGACTGGGAAAAAGTGTATCGCCAATGCCCACCTGACCCATCACAGTGGCTGTATCTCATACTGAAGGATCTCAACGGAGGCCTGTGGATTGACACAAGGGTTTTGTTTGGTGGGGTCGCCGGCTATGGGATCTTTGGCAGGCCAGCTGATGATTGGAGAGACCTGATGGAATTAAAGTTAGAAATTCCAAAGGTCTTCAGGTGCGTAGACAATAAATTACCATTAAAGAGGCCAGAGAGTATGGTGATGATGAAAGAAGTAGTAATTGTCAGTGAAAAGCTGGGAGTCAAGACAAATAAGTCAAAATACTGAGAGTTTGCGCAAGAGCAAAATTTTTTTGGCTTCATCTGGAATGGAAAGGATCATACCGTACAACTTCCAGAAGAAAAGCTAAAACAGAGAACAGATGAAGCAAAAGAATTACTTACCTGTGTGTAGAAGATTTCATTAAAGAAATTAGAGCAAGTGGCAGGAAGGCTATCCCATGCAACACTGATATTACCTCACATGAAAGCATATATGAGATCATTTTATTATTGTATGAAGAAATGGGGAAATAAGTGGGTTACAAAAAGAGTACCAGAAGAGTTAAAGGAAGACTTACAACAATGGGTTAAGAGGTTAAACTCCTTCCAAAACTTATGGATGATTCCAGACAAAAACCGACATGGTTTTAAGCACAACACACTTCTGAGTTATCCCCATTGGTACTCGACTTGCACCATCATTGTGTGCCTTCAAAATTAACACTTCCAGCCTTGGTGATCCCACCCTGCATGCAAGCCCCAGCACAATGGGCAGAACAATTCTGGCCTGCTACGGAGCTGCCACCGGTTTTTGACATGCCCACAAACTCCACTCCGGCCACCTCACAGGAACTTCATCCTGATTCCATCTTTGGTCGCATCACCAATGACATTCACCGTAAATCCAATTCCAGCAGCCAAGGAACTGCCGACGGCCTTGAAACAGCCCGTACAACCAAACCTGATGAGGAACCGGAGACCCCTCAACACCACCATGTTCCATTGATTTGACACTCTCCCCTGATGGAAATGTACACAGCGGCAGATAACCTGTAATCAATGAAGGGTCTGTCCAACTAGACAACCAGAGCAAAATGGCTCAGGCGAAAGAAGACGGGTCAGTCTTTGTGCTTTTGAAATAATGGCATCACTTTAACTTGTGCAACCATACCCTAGGTCTTCATCTTCGGTCACTCTCTAAAAATGGTGGCCAGGTTCGAAATTCCTTGTGTCCAGCCGGCTCTAATGGCATCAGGAGACCGTGCAAGGCAAGATCACGCGGACATGGTATTCACGGTGGGGTGGTCAATGGTGTTTTCAGTAGGCAACAGTGTATAGGTATTGCGGTTGGATTGACGAGGTCTCCTACCCCCGGTTTTTTTGCCAAGTTTGGAGCTCAATGTGATGCCACTGTTGGCAAGGCTTGCAATTTCTACAAGAAAAAGTTTAATAAGGTGGCTTTGTTTAAGTCCAAATCATAATTAGCACAGATAACTCTCTCTCTGTGAACAGACAAGGTGATAGACTTATGTTGGTGATGTGTGTATGTGTGTGCATGAACACCTCAGTCCGTCTCCCAAAATGTTTAAGCCTGACAAGTTTGTATTGGACTAAGATATCTATCTACGGCATCTACCCTCTTCAATGTAAACATGTTGACCACTTTTACACTCTGTAAGATAGTCATATTGGTTGCGGTGAATCACGGGAGGTTCATGAACCTCCCGCAATTTGTCACTCTATTACAATCAGAGCAACGGACACATGTGCCATCAAAGCATGAAATGGCAAAACCAAGATATGGGATGACCATAACCATATTCATTGCTTGAAAATATCCAAGAGGGTATAACATTTGTAGCACAAACTGGTCAGAAAATTGAGATTGTAGCTCATCCTAGTAAGCATGGTAGGTACTTCGACGTGTGATACATGTGATTTCCTGACATCTTCTCTTGCTCCAACCTTCAGAGACTCATCATTCCACCCATATCACATTGATAACTTGGCCCTTTTCAGCCACCATGTTGTGATGCATGACCTGTGAGGATAGAATGATCAGTTGTTTTGGAAGAGGAAGAGGTGAAATGTGCAAGAAGACATGCTAACTTGTACAATGAATGGTTTAGACACCGGATCTTGGTCAGTGACAATACCTTGGAAGTTAATTGAACAGCCTTAACTTTGAGAAGTTCGGGATCTTCTTGTACTTTGACTGGTGGCATATAAGCACCTAATAAAAGAAATCGGATCCATTAGAATCTTCAATTGTTTACAAGTATTGAATACTTACTATAAAAGTGTTCTTTTTTGAATGAAGCTGTCCAGCCAGTAGTATAAGAGACACGCTCAGCTGTGTACAGCTCCGAGTTCCACAAGAGAATGATGTGGAAACAGAGCTGATGCTGAGCGTCTTGCTCTTATGGCAGTCCGGTTGGCACTGCGCCGCAGTTGTGCCACGTAGGTGAGGGAGAGCCTACAACAAGTAGCTCCCATGTACCCAGAACACATTGATGTGTTGAGTTTGACAGGGTTACAAAATCTCTTCTCCTCAACTAAGAACTGTGAAATTGCTTCTAATTCTTTCATTTCACTTTGAGACATGATACTTGTAGCAGTGCTACTTAATATATCAGTTAATAATTTTTTAGGATAAAAATTAAATTTATCTGGATCTTTGACTTGTAAACTTTGACATTTTGGTCCTGCAAGGGTTTCAAGATTATAATCTAACAATGCTGCCAATCTAACAACAATTTCTGATTTTAACCTGATCTTGTGTTTTTGATTGGTTGTTCAGAAGGAAAGAAATCTTTCTGATGATTCTCAAGGAAGAAAGATCAATCAAACTATCTCAGCAGATCAGGTTGATGAACTACGTACAATGTTTATTTGTCATACGCTGTAGAACTCCTACGCCGGGTAGCGTAGGCTGAGCCTGAGAAGGTAAGAATCACCGTCAAGGAGGACGGATGGAACTACGGTGCTGTGAAGCTGCCTTTAACCTAAAGAAAGTCTAAAAAAAATACGTGAGACAAATTTTTCACAACCCCGCTGTTTCCAGTTTTCCTGTAAACCTGGTTTACCCTGTACAAGGATTTTCAAACTTCCAAACCCTATTTATCCTCCCACAACTTAGCCACATACACAATTCAATTAAAAAACATTAAAAAACAAAATTTAAAAATCCACAACTTGAGCTGGATTTGAACCCAGGTTCAGTCCTTTCCTTTTGGCCCTGACCTGGCCCTGAGTCGAGCTCAGACTCTTATAAACTAAAAAAAAAATCAACCCTTCATCCACAACTTCAACAACAGGATAACTTCAATAACACTCGATTCTAGACTCAAGTAAGCCTTTTTATATTTTCCTTCTAAGACTCTTCTCTTAATTGATAACTGACTAACTAATAAAAACTGCTTCAACGTTGAAAACCCCAAGATACTCGAGAATTCACACTTTTAGATCAAACAACTTGATCGCAACACTAACACACGCTTAAAAACACAAAACACACTTGATCGACTTGATTCAATCTCTGCATGATGATTCCCATCTTTCAGCACCAACCACCACCCCCTTTTATACCTTTCCAAACACCCAACCCACAACTTGGCCTCACAGCCCTTTCTTCTCTTTGCTCCGACCTTCCTTTTGCTCCAACCAATTCCTATCAATTCCAAGAGGCTCTCATGCCAAGTTCATTCCCATTCGACTTGGTTCTTGCCCTTTCCAACTCAGGTTTGTTTTCTTTCTCTTTCTTTTCACATTCTCTTCTATACTTTATCAACTACTGACATCATCTCTCCCTTTTATCCTATCTTCTCTAGCTTATTGCTTCCACCCTCCTAGCTTAACTTCTTCCTTTTCACACTCCAGGTACGTTTCTCTCTCTTTCTACTTTCTTATTTCTTTCTCGATTGATTTGTATAACTGACATCATTTCATATTGTTCATCTTTTAGCTAGTTCTCTCTTGGCAAATCAGCTTGGTTCTTCAGCTTTCTACCTTATATCTCGTAAGTTCCTCTCATTTTGTTTCTTTTAAACAATTTTTACCTAATTTTTGCTAATCTTTGTCTTCTTTGATTTCCTTCTTTCACTCGTTCATATTCTTCTGTTATCTTTCCTTTGTATTGTTTTTTATATTATCATTTTAAATTTTTAATTGTTTTGTTTTCTTGTCTCCCTTGCTTAGTCTCGGCTATCTTATGTAGTGTGATTAAAAAACAATTTGAAATTTAGATAACTAAAAAAAAATTCTTTTCTCAAAACTGAAGTCGAAAAGCAAGAGTTGCCCAAATGAGAGTTGCTGAACTGAGATAGAGATAGAGCTTGATCAAGATAGGACTTGATGGATATAAAAAGGAGGGATGCAGAGAGCTTTTGCTTTCCACAACACGTCTATTCCAAAGCTTGGGTTCAAGTAGGGTGTCAAGCAGACAAAAGGTGATTTGGATTGAAGTTTGAACCAGAGAAAATTACAAGCTTGAGGAAATTTGTTATTAACATTGGATTGATTGAGATCCTTTTGCTCAGCTTGGAAACGGCCAATGATACTCAAATTCTTTCTCAGGTGAGGCAGTGACATCCGTTGCGTGTGATCATTCCATATTGGGAAAGCACTGGAATTGCTCTGACATCCCTGTTCTTGGGAACATTCAATTTTTTGATTTGGGCCAGTTTGGGCCAAGTGGAATGAATGACACATTCAATTCTGAAAGGGTCTTTGAATTGAATAGAATTCTTGTGAGTTTTAAAACTGTTGTGTGGAAAAGCCGGTGTTGATTTGATTTCCTTCCAACTGGTTGCTTAATGTTGTGCATATTTGGGAATGAATGGATGAATGGGTCTAACCCGTTCAATTGGGAAAGGATCTTGATTGAACTCTCTGGATCAAAGGGACCCTTTTCTTTTGAAATTGACTGGCCTGGTTCCTTTGTTTCAAAGATAATCAATCGTTTGATTCCACACCAGTCACCACCATTTTGTCTTTGAAGTCCTTCTGGCCTAAAGTTTTATCTTCACCTCAACATTTGTTGTCTCTCACATCTACTTTAGTTCTGTCTCTTCATTCGTATCAAAAACTATCGCTTTTCAAAAGGACTTCTCTGTTACTCTACATCTCAATCGCACAGAGCATCCTAGGTCAATTTTTCCCCCAATTCACTGTTCTAATCTGCACATCTTGCTTGACCTCCTGCTTCAAACCTTGAGCTCATCTCAACGCATAACCCTGAAGCTAAAGGTAGAGCAAGATTTGTGGATTTAAAACAATGGATGAAGCAAGAAAAAAACCAAAACATAAGTCTCTGAGTACCATCCTTTCTCGCAAAAATCATACCAAACGCAAGAATGCTGAGAAAAAGGATCAAAGTTGTCCACCACCCAACCACCGTGCTGCAAAGAAAGCTGAAGTTACTGAACTTTATGGACTCCCACCTGAAACAAAATTCTTGTTCTTCAAGAAAGGCGATAAATCAAAAAAGCCTTTTCAAATTCACTTCGGGACTGTTGTATGCCTTGACAAAGACACCTGTGATCTACTAGCAGTGGTACAATTTGTTGAGCATACTCCTGACAATTCAGCTTTATTTGAAAAACACAATCACACTATTCCAACTGTATACAAACATGCTAGAGCCCGAGGATTGGTGAAGATAAAAGATGCTGCAAAGAAAGCCAGAGCAATCCGAAAAAAGTATGGCAAAATGTATGCAGCTGGTTTCAGACCTGGTTTTGATCCCTTAATTAAAGCAGGTTAGTCTCTCACCAAATTTCTTCCAATGATCAGGTGAAACTGACATAAGTTGTTTCCAGCTGTGTACGCTTTCAATGCAACTACAAACGCAAAGCTTCGGTGGATGCAAGAAGATCTCACCTGTCAAGGAAATCTTCCTGCAATCAAGGATTTCTTTGCTGAACGTTTTGTGAATTTATCTTCTTACACTTTTGAATCAAACACGGAAATTGCTTCACGCACTGGTGCTCCTTTGTGGGCTGGACAAGCTTTCTACGTCTCACCTAACGCACAAGTCTTCGCTTCCAACATTGCTGTCACATTTGACAAGTTTGTCAATGCACCTCACAACAACAACAATATCAGTCGATATTCTTTTGGTTTCTGGATATGTATCAACTGCAAAACTGGGAAACTTTACTCACTAAAAAATGCTGAGTTTAAAGGCAATAATGTTGGATCTTGCTTCTTTTTGGACGACTACAACATTGTAGTTGATTATGATGAGTGTGATGGTGTGGTTGAGATGCTGTGGAATAGCCACATTGAGCACCACACTTCTAATTCAGAAACTTATAACGCTCGGAACGTTACAGTTGTCCCTCCAAGAGGAAAAATTACTCGATCTGGCTGTGCTTGCCAGATCAACCAAACTTTGGTGGATAGAATTAATCAAGTCAATGAGATGCGTGGTGATATGAACGATGAGGAGTGGAACAATTTTCGTGGAACTCTTTTGACCGGCTATCCTGAGGAGGCACGCAAGGAAAAAATAGCTAAGTTGGCTGCAAAAAATGGAATTAATGACCTCAGTTTATCATTTGTACCTTGAAATGTTATTTGTCAAATACCACTTGTTTTCCTATATTTCTCATCTTCACTTCTTTCACTCAAATGACTTTCCATTTGTATGTTGCGTTTCATTGATCAGATCAACGTAAACAATCACTTTCAAGCAATACTATCTTAACAGCTTGATCTTGAGCCCTACTTCACATCATTTTTAGATTAATTGATCAAGTTACTGGGGAATCATATCTGATGTCTTTAATTTCTTGGTTGGAGCTTCATCTTGTGAAGCAAAGTTCACAGCCTATGAGGTCCAGATGTGTGATCCCGAGTTTCTAACCAAATGTAACAGCTTTTGCAGCTTTGTATGACTTGGTGTCAGGTTGGCTGATCCTACGCATCAACACCCTAAAGTTCTTATCAAGTGAGTCAAAATCCACTTTACATATATCCTAGCAAGTTGATGTTGGCTTGATCATACCCACAGATTGCCCTCTTGCCTTTTGAATATTACCTGAATATGTACTCAAGGGTGTGATTGAATTTTACTCATCCATTTCACAACATTCACCAGCCACCCTGCTTCAATCTTTGGCAGTGATAGACAAACTCTTGACATTCACCCTATTTGAAGAACTTTCACTTGAAATCAAAGTTCATTGAGATTTTGTTCTATAACACTCAACCTATCCCTGGCCGACCAAATGGGGTCCTTGGTGATGCACTTAATTACCATCCAATGTCGTTATCTCGTCTTATGTTGGCCTTGATGCAGATCTATGTTGGTCAGTGGCTTATTGTTTCTAGCACGCTGCAAGGCATGTTCTGTCTGACTGTTTGTGTTTTTGGTGCCTAACAGAGGTTGAGATCACGGGTAGCCACTCCCAGTTTTATGATAAAGTGTATGTGACTTGTCAATACTTTATTGACCCTACCTTTCATTGTGCTGACAATATCATCAATCTGGGAGCGGTAACAATCTGAATCACTAAATACAATTGGATTTTGATCGTCAATAAGATATTGCGTTTGATCCAAAAA